TAGTTGCTAAATATAGTAACCTTCAGCCACGGTGCAGCGTTGCAAGCCAATCACAGGAACGTTTTGGTCATGTGCGCCACGGTGAGCCACGGTGAATGTATTTTGATTGCGCAATAAATACAAGTCATATGCAATAGCTCGGTTCTTGTCGACTTGAAAAAACGCTACTTCTAGTTCTACTCAGCGATTAGGATCAATGGAAACTTCTAAAAAGATCGATGTTCTTGAAAAGCTCGTCCAAACCTTTCAGAAAGAGAACGCTTGCGAAATTATTTCTGGTGAATTGTCTAACTTGAGACAACACTGTGTTAAAATAATCAACGAGGAAAGGCTTCGTCGTATAAATTCTACTGGCGATATTATGCTACGAACTTGTTTATTTTCAAAAATGCAGTTCCCTGAAAGCCAAATTGAAAGATCAGGCCCCAATGTCCCTGTTAGGTAAGAATTTACATGTATTGGGGTATTAATTTATATTTTTATTTACGTTTGACATCTTGGCCTGAAATATATGATCAATCCGTTAATTTTCAGCTATTCATATTTAGTGTATCATGTAAAAGATATGTCTAAAGCTGTCATTATTTTGCATACTCAATCTGTCTAATGTACGGCCTAAATAATTTTAATTGTTACTGTCTGTTAAAAAAAAATGTTTTACTTCAATATTAGTCAAAGCTAGTCCTTTTTAAAATTTAACCCAATCAATAATGTATTATCCTTGTATTCCTGGCATTTTATGTTATCCCCTGGTTAAAGAAACTAACATATCATTTTGAATAACTGTTACTTTCTTTCGCGATTTGTATAGAGTATTGATGCTATAGTAGATGGAATCAATAAGTCATCTGAATCCTGTTCGACATGCCTAGACTAGTTCCAAATCTTAGACTACCTGCCTGTGACTTTGACTTTATCATGATGTTACCAAATTAACACAAAGACAAAATAACTTTCTCAATTTTAATATTATTAGTCTATCTTTAACTGTATTGGTTACCCTTATTTATTCTAATGTCAGAGTCAGTCTAGCAGATTTGTTTCCAGGTATAGCTTGGTATAACAAAGCAGCCATTGATACTTAAATACTAATTTTTCTTTTAGTACTTTAGCCAATGGGAATATTCTGTTCAATGCATGTTCTATTGCATTAGTTGGGAATGAGACTCTCTCTATTTACTTGAGATTCCTAACTAGTGTTGAAATGTTTGAAAATGCAAAATACTATTTTACCCATCCTGTCATCGAGTCCCAGCATAACGATTGTTGGATAAACATCTTTGCTGCTGTTGGAAGAGGACCACCTTTGAACATTGCTTTTATTAGTCTTGCCATCTTTATGATTGTTGGATAAACATCTTTTCTGCTGTTGGAAGAAGATCACCTTTGAACATTGCTTTTATTTATCTTGCAATCTTTACGATTGTTGGATAAACATCTTTGCTGTTGTTGGAAGAAGACCACCTTTGAACATTGCTTTTATTAGTCTTGCCATCTTTATGGCTGTTAGCAAAAGCATCCTTGCTGCTTTTCGAAAAAGACCATTTGATGGGGCAACAATGATGGGGAATTATATTTTTGTAGTGAACTGTCTTTTGGTTATTCACTGCAAAAATAACATGCTTCATCTTTCTCTCACTCCTGCGGCAACAATTCTGTGATTACAGAAAGGTACGGAAACTGCGTTGATTTTACATCAGACACCACAAGGTAAGTAAAATTTTTATTTTTCTATCCGAACAGAATTAAGAAAATGGCGATATTAGAATTTTTTTTAGATGAGATTATAGACCCCCCTAGCATTGCCCCCAGACCCCCTAGCGTTGCCTCGCGCCGAAGACGCTTGCTACGTCACAGGGCCACGATCAGCCTAGAAGCTGGATCCGCCCCTGAGCCCCCATATAAGGTATAATATGCATCATATGAGCACGCTGATAGGTTGGAAAGAAAGCTCTCAAGATTACGAATCTTACAGTGTTTAGAAAGTGAAATTTGGATGGATTTTCATTAAAATACATCAAAATAAAACTTGCAAACAGTTAAATGCATGCAAATTTTGTTTAAAGTTTAGACAAAACCAGATATTTCGAGTGAAATAGTGTCAAAACAGATAAAATTCACCAGATAGGAAGTACATTGTTTCACCAGATAAAGTTTGGTGGTAAGCCTATTTTTTTAGCTATATCTATCGAAATTTATAGAACAAAGAACTAATCGATACACCGTCGTCAAAGAGTTTTTTAATATCTTTACAATAAAAACACTCTATTGGCGAAGGATTTAAAACGAAAAGTATAAGAAATTTCAAGTATGTCTAGGTGGAAATTTTCAGATATTTTGTTAAAAATCTGATACTAAATAACTTTTTGTTACATGACATTCAATTTTTTCGCGTTAGTAGACCCGACGCCACGATAACTAAGGATAGATGTGGTGGAAAAACATTCATATAAATGTGTGAGCTAAGAAAAGATATTAAAAGGGCTTAAGTAATTAATCATCTTTGAATCAATAAGCTACAACTTAAACACTGAAATGCTATTACAAAATCAGCAAAACTTTAGCACTTTAGCACTTTTGAACTTTAACACTTTGGCATATCTATAGCAGAATCATCATGACAACAGCAACATAATTTAAGGCATGTTTCGACTAAAGTTATTATAGTCATCTTCAGAGGAGTAAGCTACAATTTGTGGAGTAGAACTTCGCAAGGATAAAAAGTGGAAAGAGTTTTATTTTGCCTTATTCGTTTACTTCTTAAGTAGGTTTTAGCATTTCCCTTGCGTTTACTTTTTGTTTTGCATGCATGTCACTTTATAATCCTTTTTCAAGATTGACGTTTTCTTTATCTGCTCATTACTTATGGCATCAAAATTAAATTCATTACTGGTTTTTTGCTTTTTGTCACTGAATTATTCACATTAGATTTCTTTTTCAAGAAAAGTCAATGTTGCTGCAAAGAAACCTGCCAAACAATAATTGATTGTTGTCGAACGTCCAGTCATTGTAATAATAGAGGAAAATGTGAACTCAGTAAGCCATCAAGTAGAAGACGAGCTTCATGTAACTGTGATGACGGATATGTTGGAGATCGTTGTCAAACGATGGCAAGATCGTGCAGAATTTATAGCGGTCAACAAAACGGACAATATAAAATATTTACTCCTGACGAGCAAGTAATTACAGTTTACTGTCATTTTGATGGGCATCGCGCATGGACACTTGTCCAATCATTTAGTTTAGAAAATTCAATAAATTACAAAAATAAAGCTTACTTTAAAAATTTCCCCAGAAACGTAGCAAGCCCGTCTTGGAAAGACTACAGACTTTCTTTGGAAACAATGATTGGCATAAAAGAAGACAAAAATGACAGATGGCGCATAACTTGCAATTACACAAGCATTAATTGGAATGTTGGGGATCGTCTTGAGGCAACGCATAAAAGCATTGAATTACTGGATGAAAAAAAGTCAACGTATCGTGGGAAATGTGTTCTCGTGGAATATGTTGAAATTCGTGGAGCTTCGTGCAGCCTTTGCAACATCAACATTTATCATTTCGGAAACAGTATTCTTCATACTGATTCAACAATTACTTCATGTGGTCGGACTTGGAACGGAATTATATGTCATAATGGATATGGTGAAGACAATTTTAGTCATTACATATGCGCCAATCATAGACACGATTGCACATCGTCAAACAAAACCACCACACAATCGTGGTTTGGCAATGAATAATATATGCATGAAACTGTATGTTCCTTTATATACAATGTCCAATTTGGCAATTATTAGCACAGAAATTTACGAAGAGATCATAGAACGTTTTCAGCTATTCCTTTAAAATCTTTACATTTTTATAAGTAAGTTAAGCATCAAGAAATCAAGTTATTTATACAAATAAGTTTTTGACTTCTTTTTATTCATATATTCGGTACACCGCCCAATTGATTTGATGAATGGCAATCAAAAAGATTTGATGAAAATAACAGTTGTATTTAAGTAAAAATTTTTTCCTTTGTAAAAACATTTCAGACTTAATTATAAGTAACTTCTTTGCTTGTAACACACGTAAAACATAATTTTAATAGCTACTGTACCTAATTAAAAAGATTAATGCAAAAACGTAAGTAAAATATGAAGCGCAATAGACTTGTATGTAGATTACCACTGCTATCGACTTAAAATACTTTCGCTTGTTTCTTATTCGCAATCTATCTCAGTTTATTACCCTATTGTGTTCTATGCAGACTCTTTGAATTGTGATAAATTTGGAAGGTATGTTACTAAAAGATTGAAATGCCATCTTGAACTCTTATTCAAATTTCATTTCTGTAAATCTTGGCAAGTCAAAGAGATAGTTAAAAAATGGTAGCATATTGCTGCGTCAGCCAACTTTAACTGACGAGATTGGAATTGAATATAAAACTCAATAATCCTGCTCTGTGTATGGAAACTAAAAGCCACTCGATGATAACGTTGTTGTAATGTTGAGGAGTTGAAGTTTCATTGTTTACTTTGAACTGGTTTTTACGGTCTCCAGTATCCAATGACGATGATGATGTTAACAGTGGCGTGCGATGACCGAATTTAATAGGCAAGCGCTGGGGGTGAGGTTCGCGGCATGCCGCGAAGCTATCTAGGGGGTCTGGGGGCATGCTCCCCCAGAAAATTTTTGGATTTTGAAAGCTACTGGAGCGCATTTCCCGCGATTTCTGGGAGTACTTTGTCGAAAAAATGTATCTGTCATGACTGAAACAGTATTGAAAAAATCTAAAAAATTCAAAAACTTTTATAGAGTATATATCACAATTACGGTTTAAAAGTATTACATGTGGTATTGTGATATAAAGTCGTTTTAAGTAAATGGCTACGCGTGCATTTCTATTGTAGTGAAGAAGTAACAGAACGAAATAGTCCAAAATCTTACAACAGATTTACTTAAATTTAAATTCCATCCGTCTTTCCTTTGCGCAAAACTCCTTTATAACGTCCTCATAGAATCGTGGCTTCCCCTGCAAACTTATCAACATCTCCTTCTCGATTGAAATTGTAGCCAATGCAGAAAGTCGCTCTTGCCCTTGTGTACTGCGAAGATACGTTTTGATACGCTTGAGAGCCGAAAATGATCTTTCTGCAGAGGAGGACGTACTTGGCATAGTAAGAATGAGCTGACACAATCGGTACACCTCTTGAGCTCGGCAGATGCGTATACAACGATTAGTTCTCTTTTTAGTGCTTGAAGATTAAAGAATGTTCCATATGAATCTTGCAACGATTGCAGCTCTCGTTCGGGAAAATTCCGGCTGTACAATTCGTGTTTTGAATGATCCAACAAAGAAACGAATGCTCTGCTGTTAAGACTTTCGAATCTAGAGTCAATCTGCACGACAATGGTATCGACTACACAGAAAAACATTTGACGGAAGGACGCCTTTACATCCTCTTCACTTTGCCCGTGTTTCAGTGCTATTTTGACGATACTTGACGTAAAATTCCAATAATCTACGAATTTTGTTCGTTGTTCTTGAATCTTATCTTTCGTCTCGCGAACTTTCGTGACACAGAAGACAATATCGAACTGCTTACTCTGAATGATATTATACAAAACATCCGTAAGACCAAGTATTTCTGAAAATATTTTAAGGCAGAACACAAACTGGAAATCTGCAAGAACTTGTCGGTAGCCCCTCGCTTCGTTTAACGTCGTACCGTCAAACTCGTCATCATTTTCGATGATGTATTCGAAAACTTCGAGCAGCTTTGCTCTTGTCTCCAGTACAGCATGGATTAACCTGCTCTGATAGTGCCATCGAACAGCTGTTCCAGTGGGAATGCGTCTGCCGACAACTGTGTCCAACAGGTATGTTCTCTTGGACGAGGCGTGAAAAAAAGGATGAAAGACCAGTGACGGTTTTAAAAAATATACGACACTCTTTAGTTGACGAGACAGCTTGAACAAGGACCAAATTTAATGCGTGTCCGCAACAGTGGATAAAAAGAGCATGTGGATAGTCTTCTCTTACTCGTGTTTGCAAACCGGACAGTTCTCCTGACATCACACTCGCACCGTCATACGTTTGGGCAATCAGTTTTTCGCCGCATCCGTACTCGTTCAGGGTTTTACCGACTTCTTGTTTCAGTCTAGCCGCAGTTCTATCCTCACTTACATCGGTAAATCCAAGAAAGCGCTTCACAGCTTTACCATCTGGGTTGACATAGCGAACTATAGTTGTTAGCTGCGATAAGGTCTTAACGTCAGAGGTTTCATCCAGGGAAATAGCGACAAATGGGCTCCTCATCACTTCATCTTGTATTGCTTTCAACATAACGTCCTTGACAGCAACAATCAAATCGTTCTGGATACGATTAGAAAGTCCAGAAAACACGGTTGCTGTATGAAGATGCTGTTCAAGCGTGGGGTCATATGCACTTAGCAGTTTTATCAATTCGACGTAATTGCCCCTGTTGGCAGACTCCTCCAGCTCCACCCGACCTCTGAAAGAAAGTTCCTGTTTGCCAAGAAAGCAAACAACATAAATGAAACGGCGAAGTACTTCTCTATTCTTGTGCACCATCAAGTTGTGAGCTGAGATGTGTTGACGGGCCTCTTCGAAAAAGCTGCATGTCGATGCGTGTACGCCCAAAACTGGCACTCATTAGGCAACTGGACAAGTGTGTCTTCGTTTTCTCGTGTCTGTTGACGGCATTACACAGGTAGGCCAAATCATCGTATCCCTTCTTGCACCAGACTGTCTTGTCTGTTGAGTTGAAAAAAAGACACGGCCAGCAAAATAACTTATTCAATTTTGAGGAGCCAGCCAGCCATTTGTACTTGTAATTTGACGTCTGAAAACTTCGAATAAAGACTTTACCACTTCGCTTGGATGTTGTATGTAGTCCTTGCAACTCAGGAGTGGGACGGCCACCTTCGACGATCTCTCGTTTCTCGGAAAAAGGTCTCAATCCAAATGAGCGGGACAACAGTGATTCCACAATGCATTCAGTCATGTTGTACAGGTGTCGTGAAAATACCGAATGTAGAAGTAGAACATAAAAGGATGAAAATTCCTATGCTATATATTTTATAGGAACATCAATCTTATTTATACCTTACATCAGTTACATGATATCTTGTAGTGACGTACATAACGTGCGTACATTACTCATCTAGATTCATGTATTAGCAATAGAGGAAATAGCCAATCCTACACTTACTCAAACGCGCTACTTAAAATTACGCACTTAACTTTATAATTACGTAAAACTACTCAAATTTCAAGTACATTATCCGCTGTGTAATAACTGCACCTTGTTTATCCAAATATATAAAAAGCCTGTAAATAAATATTAACATGTAGAATACTCACGACTGTTGTAAATAACTTCTTTGCTAGTGAATAAAATAATCACAAAATTTAATAGCGTTCTAGTATATTGAAATCACGTTCAGAGCTCATACGCAAGACTTATATAACGCTAAAGTATAACATGCTACAGATAATATCTTCTACATACATAAATTAGAAATCTACTACTACTTTGAACTAAAAATCAGAACATTGATTGATTTGATTGATTAAACTTTATTAAAAAGAGGGTAACACGTGACACAACAAGTGTGAAAAACCTTTCGCTCTCAGTCATCTTTTAATAAACGATAACATTAACGGCGTGAATAATTCGGATGTCCAATGTGTTGAATATACGAATATTATTCGTGCGCTGATATGTGTTTAAAATTGCGAGCGTACAAGACTGCTGACCAATCGCTATCAAGCGGCGCCCATAGAAGCGCCGCTTGCCTTTTCTCGATATTCCTCGAATAAGAAGCCTCCAAATCTAGATTAACGCATGCGCAAATGTTCAAATTGAGCTCCGAAGGCAAGCGCGCTTGCCTTGGTTAATAAATAAGAAATTTTTAAGGTGTATTTAATCCACTTGACTCATCTTACAAGTGTAGCAAAGTGAAACCGAAAACCACGAAATAAATCGCGTATAAATAGCAAGCATTTCAACTGTAAAGACAATTTAGACAAAAGATTACATTGACATTGTTTAGAACAGAAAATTTTAAACTGATTTTGCTCAGAGATTGATCCAAAAAATTTTTGTTCGGTAAAATGCTTAGGCAAGCGGCGCTTGCCTACGCTTGCATGACCGCACGCCACTGGATGTTAAGTCTCTTCGTATGACTAGACTAGCAATTTTTATGCCTTACTAACGACTCGTTATCATCTTCATCATTATCACTGTTATAACCGCAATTATTTGCTGTAGTTTACTTTTCTTTCAGCTGAGCATTAAGATCATTTATCTCTACTCCCCTCGTACATTCTTCTCCAATCTCATGTTCTCGTATTATGAAGAGTTTTGTCCAGGGCCTTTTTTAAGAATGTTGTTGGTGGGGGAGGGTAAGCGGATTGTCAAAATGAGTGTAGAGTAATGTAGGGCTAGGACAATATATGTATTTCAATATAATAGATGTAATATAAGAAGTATAGAAATATACATACTAAAATTATTTAAAATATTAATTATTCCCGTTGTTGTCTCGAGCTAACAAGTTTACATTATTTTACAATAAATGTTTTATTCTGGTGAGGGCTGCTTCAAAAACGTCTTAAAAAAATAATCATTTTTCTTTTGCGTGCTGACAGTTCTTTTTGCGTGCCGAAATCATTCTTCAGTCTTTAGTAAAAATATTGCTATAAATTAGCTGGACAAATTTACATCTTCCTGAAACTATTTTTTGTGATATATTTTCGTCAAAACACTGAAATCTTTTGTTTGGGCCGTGTTTATCAGAAGCGTGGAAAGACTGAGAACAATATTGTCGACTTTGCCTTCAAACTTCCAGGTAAAGATAGCCTTCCAGTTATATTTAGTTCAATGGTCTCGACTCACAGAATCCAAGATGGTCGCCAAAGGCTGAAAATATTTGCCAAACATTGAGTTGATTTGAGACTTATTGCGCAGCTTACAGACATGGCATACATTAAAAAAGTATTCAAAAATATATCGCCTTACTAGTATGTAAAACTCATATAGTTTCCCTAGGTGCGTATTCAAAATAAGTTTTTACGCACATTTTTATCACTTGGCCCATCGCCTATATATGTTTTTAATAAAGTGTAATATTTGTAAACCAATAATAAATAACATCTGACAGTATAGCTTTTAATTATTATTATGTTAATGAGATTCCAACTTTGAACACATTATAGCGTAACAAAAATGTTAATTTCAGAAGTACAGCCCACTCTATGACATAATTATGTTGTATAAGCTTTGGAAATTGAGATACCAACACATCTATTTTTTATTATCAACAGATAAATAATATGCCAACTATCGAAGACCATCCAATATATAATAAATTTTGACATTAAACTTTTTCGTGATTTTAAAACTAATATGGAACAAATCAAGTAGCCTAAAGTCTAAAAAATATGATATTTAATAAAATAGTATGTTTCGAAACCATATATAGTCAAAACTTTAAAATTAAAAGAAATGATATAGACCAAGTAAATGTAATATTATAATTTGCTCATTCATAATTAGGTATTCGCATACAGTTATACATAATATTTTCCATGTTATAATTGTTGTATGGTTTAGATTGATGTCACATGAAATTTTATAGCTACATAAAAAACTTTCCCGCATCACTTTTGCAAAAAAACATCTTGAAGTTATAAAAGTTGGCTTTATTAAAGTTGGCTTTTATTAATAAAAATTCATATCCTTGAGTGTTTAAAAAACATAAAGCAACTTAAAAAAATATGTATTCTTGTCATTTATGTTGAACAAAACACGAAAAGGAAACTTAAATATAGACGAAAATATAGAGAATCGTATAATCTGTTACAAAATTTGTTGAAATTTTGAAAGACACACCTGTCTTTAAAAACCTATGTGCTTACGGCTTTTTCATTATTACACACTTCAAGTTACTACAAGTAAAATTAAAAATAAAAGCAATATACACAAAACTACTCATGACAAATATCATTAGAAGCAGCGCGAATTTTCAATCAAATTTTAATATTTGTGGTCGTGACTCTATTGATGCAGCTTCTAAAAGAAATGTTTTTCTGTCCGTGATGTGGAATTTCTCTTTTTTGTTTTGGCAGAAGATAAAACTCAAAATACAGTCCGAAACATTTTATCAAGTGAAGTTGACATTTTTCTATGCGTGAATATATTTGAATAGCTTAAAGTGTTTATAGCAATGAAAAACATCTTTCAGTCATAAATTTTCTGTTGTATATACATAGGTTTAAATGTATATGTTCATGTAAAATAACAAATATATTGAAGACTTTTTGTATGTATTCGCGGTCATCTGCTTTTAGTTTGAACTTTTTGCCCGTGTAACTTTAAACAAATGTGACAAGAAGAGAAAACTTAAAAACGTATTACTGTTTAAACAAAATATATTGAGAAAAGTGAACTTGTGACGTATAACTATCTAAACAAAATGTAAGACAAGTAAACAATTCATTTTGACGAATATTGCTTTGCTATAAAGGGGGTTTTATTATCTCATTAAACTTCACTAAACATCAGAGTCGCCATCTGTATGGGAGATTCGATAACTCTGCAAATTAAAAATACATCATAAAGTTAACTTAACATTGGCAGGTGTGTAAGAATAGACAATTTGCTGTAGATATAATAAATTACCTAACTTTAATATTTTCATTTTTGTAAATTCGTTGTCACGTCCAAGCAACAAATCAACAAATATCTATGATATTAGTATTATGTTCGTTGAAAACATGTAAATCATATAGCGAAAAACTGTTTACGCAACTATAATCTTACTTATTTGAAAGATATAAAACTTATACATATTTATCTTTAGGCAAAGCTTTAAGCAATTATGCTCTGTTGGATTGCGGTGATCCAACTTTTGTATTTCCTTCCCATTTGCTCCAGCAACTACATCGTGGAAATCAAACGTCATCGAGCAAGGATGCATTCTAATTATATTATAAGAAACATCAGTAGCTCCAACATTCACCATTGTCTGCATAACTGTATGGAAAACTGCTCGTGCTTATCATTTCAAATTTTTGGTAGAGTTTGTCAACTACTTTCCACTACAAAAACTAAAATATCATTAAAAGAAGATGGCATTAGTCAATGTATTCATTTCACAATGCATATATCTGACATCAAGGTGAGTTTATAATAGTTGAAGATTCAACGAAAATGGAAAATCTTCATTATATTATATTAAAAGTCTTAAAATTCTCAGTGTAGTAAAACACCTATTCAATTCGCATGATCTGTTTATACAACGTCTTCTTACTGAAAAACATATGAAACTTAGATTACGAATAAATTACTAAATTCATTGGTTGCAGATAAAAGCAACTTAGTTATTTATAATTTATCGTACGCGCTGTTTCTGGAGACAATTAATATATCACAAAGTTTGGTGTATATCCTTATGTGTCTATTAATTTTTATCAAGATTCTTTACCAAAGACAAACTACAATAGCCAAAAGAAAGAAATTAGATCCTACTAAAATCCTGCCATATTACACTTATTACATTTGTGGCGTGAGAAATGTATTTGCATATTTACGCTGAGATCGTCCGCGAACTATATTGAATAATAGTTGCAGCGCGTCCTAAGCTGTGTTTCCTGCTTTCCTTTATCAAGTGAGGCCAGCAAAATATATATTATTATGCACACCGCCTACCAAATTATTACGGTTCTAGTGACGGAATTGCATCGTGATGAGCGCAACTTAGCATTGTCTCCTTGGCTAGGCCAACAATAGCCCCCATATAAGGCATAATATGCATCATATGAGCACGCTGATAGGTTGGAAAGAAAGCTCTCAAGATGACGATTCTTACAGTCTTTAGAAAGTGAAATTTGGATGGATTTTCATTAAAATACGTCAAAATAAAACTTGTAAGCAGTTAAATACATGCAAATTTTGTTTTTGCGTTTGTACAAAGCCAGATATTTCGAGTGAAATAGTGTCAAAACAGATAAAATTCAACAGATAGGAAGTACATTATTCAAGATATAATTTGGTGGTAAGCTTGTTTTTTAGCTTTATGTATCGAAATTTATTAAACAAAGAACAAATCGATACACCGTCGTCAAAGATTTTTCTAATATCTTTCCAAAAAAACACTTTATTGGCGAAGGATTTAAAACGAAAAGTATAAGAAATTTCAAGTATGTCAGGGTGGAAATTTTCAGATATATTGTTAAAAATCTGATCCTAAATAATTTTTTGTTACATGACATTCAATTTTTCGCCTTAGTAGACCCGGAACCGCGATAATTAAGGATAGATGTGGTGGGAAAACATTCATATAAATGTATGAGTTAACAAAAGCTATTAAAAGGGCTTAAGCGAGTAATCATCTTTGAATCTACAAGCTACAACTTAAAACACTGAAATGCTATAACCTACTCAGCAATTACAAAATAAAATCCTTTCCCTCCTTCTTCTTGCAAAAACAACGAAATCTTGCAGTTGGTGAATTTTTTATTTGAACTTCAGTACTTTGGCATTATAGCAGGGTAGGGTTAACCAAAATTATTGCAGTAGATTCATCCTATCACTCTATTAATCCTACTTTATTCAGATCCTTAATTGGTTAACAAACATAACATTTACCAATTCTATGGCAGAATCATCATGACAACAGCAATTTCTTTTAAGGCATGTTTCGACTAAAGTTATTATAGTCATCTTCAGAGCAATAAGCTACAACTTGTGGAGTAGAACTTCGCAAGGACAAAGAGTGAAAGAATTTTATTTTGTCTTATTCGTTTACTTATTAAGTAGGTTATAGCATTTCCCTTGCGTTTACTTTTTGTTTTGCATGCATGCACGCTTTGCAATCGTTCTTCAGGAGTGACGTTTTTTTATCTGCTCATTACTTATGGCATCAAAATCAAATTCATTACTTGTTTATTGCTTTTTGTCACTGAGTTATTCACATTAGATTTCTTTTTCAAGAAAAATCAAAGTTGCTGCAAAGAAACCTGCCAAACAATAATTGATTGTTGTCGAACGTCCAGTCATTGTAATAATAGAGGAAAATGTGAACTCAGTAAGCCATCAAGTAAAAGACGAGCTTCATGTAACTGTGATGAAGGATATGTTGGAGATCGTTGTCAAACTATGGCAAGATCGTGCAGAAGTTATCGTGGTCAAAAAAACGGACAATATAAAATATTTACTTCTGACGAGCAATTAATTTCAGTTTACTGTCATTTTGATGGGCATCGCGCATGGACACTTGTCCAATCATTTAATTTAGAAAATTCAAATTATTACCGAAAGAAAGTTTACTACAAAAATTTCCCCAGAAACGTAGCAAGCCCATCTTGGAAAGACTACAGACTTTCTTTGGAGACAATGATTGGCATAAAAGAAGACAAAAATGACAGATGGCGCATAACTTGCAATTACACAAGCATTAATTGGAATGTTGGGGATCGTCTTGAGGCAACGCATAAAAACATTGAATTACTGGATGAAAAAAATTCAACGTATCGTGGGGAATGTGTTCTCGTGGAATATGTTGAAATTCGTGGAGCTTCGTGCAGCCGTTGCAACATCAACATTTATCATTTCGGAAACAATATTCTTCATACTGATTCATATTATACTTCTTGTGGTCGGACTTGGAACGGAATTCCATGTCATAATGGATATGGTGAGGACAATTTTGGTTATTACGATTGCGTAAATCCTAAACACGATTGTACATCGTCAAACAAAGCCACCACACAATTGTGGTTTGGCAATGAATGATATATGCATGAAACTGTATGTTCCTGTTTATACAATGCTCAATTTAGCAATTATAAGCACAGAATTTTACGAAGCGATCATAGAATGTTTTCAGCTATTCCTTTAAATTATTTACATTTTAATAAGTAAGTTAAGCATCAAGAAAGCAATTTATTTATATAAATAAATTTTTGACTTCTTTTGATTGATATATTCGGTACACCGCCTAATCGATTTGATGAATGGCAATCAAAAAGATTTGATGAAAATAACAGTTGTATTTAAGTAAAACTTTTTTTGTCTTTGCAGTAACATTTCAGACTTAATTATAAGTAACTTCTTAGCTTGTAACACACGTAAAACCTAATTTTAATAGCTACTGTACCTAATTAAAAAGATTAATGCAAAAACGTAAGTAAAATATGAAACACAATAGACTTGTATGTAGATTATCTCTGCTATCGACTTAAAATACTTTCGCTTGTTTCTTTTTCGCAATCTATCTCAGTTTATTACTGTACTATGCTCTATGCAGAATCTCCGAAGTGTTTTAAATTTGGAAGGTATGTTACCCAAAGATTGTAATGCCATCTTGAACTCTTATTCATATCTCGTTTCTGTCAATCTTGGCCAATTGAAGAGATAGTTAACAAATTCTAGCATATTGCTGCGTCAGCCAACTTTAACTGACGAGATTGGAATTGAATATAAAACTCAATAATCCTGCTCTGTACATGGAAACTAAAAGACACTCGATGTTACCGTTGTTGTAATGTTGAAGACTTGAAGTTTCTTTGTTCACTTTGAACTGGTTTTCACGGTCTCCAGGATCCAATGACGATGATGATGTTAAGTCACTTCTTATGACTAGACTAGCAATTTTTATGCTTTACTAACCAATCGTTATCATCTTCATCATTATCACTGTCATAACCCCAATTATTTCCTGTTGTTAACTTTTCTTTCAGCTGAGCATTAGGATCATTTATCTTTACTCCCCTCGTACATTCTTCTCCAATCTCATGTTCTCGTAATACGAAGAGTTTTGTTCAGGGCCATTTTTATGAATTTTTCAGTGGGGAGTTTAAGCGGATTGGCAAAATTTAATGACTGGCTAGGACAATATATGTATTTCTATATAATACATATAATATAAAATGTATAAAATATTCATACTAAAATTATTTAAAATATTAATTATTCCCATTGTTGTCTTATTCCATAGAATACAAACAAAACAAACAACCTTGATTGACAAAGCTCTAGAGCTAGCAAGTTTACAAAATTTTACAATAAATGTTTTATTTTTGTGGGGGCTGCTTCAAAAACGTCTTAAAATAAAATCCTTTTACTTGTACGTGTTGACAGTTGGCAAATTCATTCTTTAGTCTTTAGTGAGCATAAATTTCTGAACAGCAGGCCGTTGATCGTATTGATGTTAGGCAATATCGCTCAAAAAGCTGTTAAGAATTCTGTAACTGGTTGCTTGGTCCCTACCTTAGTATAAAATAGAACTGAACACCATAATCTTGGAGGAATATTTCATCTGCAGGTTCCATTGAATCAAAATTTTTAAACACTGTATTTGGGAACTTTTCTGTCAGTTATGTTACATGACGCTACTAGGAAAAGAGATGCATTAACAAACTCAACTGCAATGTTGGCTTTTGTTATGTTGATGATATATTTCATCACTTCATTTCGTTCATCATTGACTCGAGACTAAAACATAAAAAAGAAGAAAGTTTTATTTAGATACGAATAAGTGTCTATCCTCGGAAATTGAAGTTAATAGTTAGTGTAGTTTCCAAATATTCTTTGTCCAATTTTCCATCTTCAACGTTAAGTGAATTACTTACATTTAGATAGTTTTCTGAAGACCCTACAAGCTCAAGTCAAATTGGCTCTGTTGTTCACTGGAATGTCGTCACTAGTGAATAAGCTGTTATTCTTTGAGGAAATCAAAGACTTTGATCATCTTCTTCATCATCGTCTTCAACTGAATGTGGCATTCCAAGCTTCTCTTTTTGACCGCCCATAGAGATACACGTAAATGTTTAAAAATATACGCCATATATTTACAGTAGCCAGCACAATTTACATGTTTCGGCTAAAAAGAAACTGATCTTACTTGGGTTAGGTTTAGCTTTTAGTATAAACTCCATTTCTGCAAAGCCACATGTTTGTAAATTAAAACGTTAAGAAGAATGATGTGCTTTTTCTGACATTCTTTCTATATACCTGAAGATAGAGCAGATGTCAGTCATCAGAGCTTTTAGCCATGGCTGAAGTGTTGAAGGATGCCAAGTCTTATGAAATCTTTTTGCCTTGTCCTTCTCTTCCTCATCGCCAGCTGCTGCTGGGGAATCTAAGATTTTCTTCCAATGTAGACGACAACTATCAAGATTGTTAAGGACCGCATTGGATTGCTGTATTAATTGTTGCGCGACTCAAACATCGTAGTGTGCAGAAATTAGTTTTATGTTTAAAATAAATGTCTTAAGTGCTTTGGATCGCAAACCAGACGAACGTTTGTAGGTTGCTACAGCAACTAAATTGGATTTCCAAATAATTAATTCTGGAACATATTTAATGAAGTCTTCTATGATCAAATCAGATTTGTGACCGACACACCAGAAGTTAAATGTTTTATAGCCAAGATTGTCTTCCAATCTAGCCCGCAAACCTGATTTCCGACCGGTATTTCCGGACTCATCGTTTGTAGTCAGACAGTATTATTTTGCCTTAATATTTGCACTATGTACCTAGTCCAAGATATTTTATTGAAGACGTCATTCTGGCTGTAATTCTTAAATTAGGGCAATTTAGTTGTTTTATTTTTAAATGTTTTGCTTAGTTATTAAATCAAAATATTGTGAAATTAATTGAGAAGATTTATCTGATGATGAGTATTGAATATTTTCCATTTGCGAAAATCAATTAACGCTTGCCCTGTACAAGCTTTGCCGTATCAAGCATTATAAAGAAGCACAATAAAACGTGTGCTTTCATTGGTTGATAGCCATGTTTGTAACAAACCGTTCTGCAATCAATCAATCAAATCGATCTGTCAATCAAAGAGAATTTTCACATAATTTATGAATACATTTTAAAGTAACATTAAAACCTTATTAATCTGTATGTTTGCATTCTTGCCTATATGACTTGACTCTTCTTGTCTAAAAGTGTATACTTATTTTTCAGAAATTAAAATATTTATATTTTTTATTATTTGCGGATGCACGGTTACACATTGTATGGTTTGTTATGTATAGAGTCACCAGAGTGCTCAATCCTATAACGGTTAGCTATATAAAATGTGAGTTAGAAGAATAAAAAGAAGTTTTTGGAGTAATTATTATTGCCATGACTTACTGATGCCATATTGGATTTGTTAATTTTTACTGTGTTGTTATTCATAATGACATCTGCACTCATTACTGTTGGTACGTGTAACTTCTGCTCACAGGACTCTAGTGTTGCAATAAAGTGATTAAGTAACACAAATGAAAAATATTTTTGTTTAATGTAAAATATTTGAACCATAAAACTTTGGTAAGATTTGCTTAAGTTATTTCAATACTGCATGTTATATAATAAAATTACGTCATTTGATCTATAAAAGATTATATATGTGATCTCATGGTTATTTTCCTTTATCATAAAACACCTTTTACAAGTATACTAAATTCGGTACTTCTGATTGTAATGCTCGATTCGAATCAAGTGACCACTCGGTAAAAAATTGACACTGCGATATTTAATGTCGTGTTAATAATTCAATGCATCCAAATGTACATTTAAAAACTTCACAATGTGATTCATTTCTATTAAAAGTTTGTGAGAAGTGTCATGGTAAGGGATGATAACTCCTTATTTAACCAAAACACAAAAATCTCTTCTTAGGAAACGCTGTTCTACTAACTGCCGTTTCCACAAAAATGAAGAGGTATAATTACCATAGAGTGAAAGTAGCGTAGCGCCAATCATGTGTAGTAAGTTACAGAAATAAGGGCTAAAGATTGTTTGACGGTCACTGCTTTGATTTGCATAATTTAGCCTTCATGAAAATTTATTGTCACGAAAATTCTCGTAACCAATCATGACGTAACCTAAAAATTTGACTGCATTGAATTTAAACAGCATCTCTTTGATACTTTTTAGTGACAACTTTGAGAGACTAAATGAACAAACGAATCATGCATTAACTATTAGTTTAAGGAAGTCTAGTTGTTATAAGCTTCTAACCTCGCAAATTAAATATACATAAATTCTAAAAGTCTCTACTATGCGCAAATTATGAATTTAAATTCAAAATTAGATATTTAATGAAGAAAACGTAATTTAGGGAAGAAAAATATTATAATTTGCTTTAAAAACACAAGAGAAAAGTTTGCTTTCAAATAAATAGTTATTTCATTTAAGAAAACTCCTAATACTTGTGATGTTTTAGCAAAAACAAAATACTTAAAAACTCTATCAATTATGCATTTATCAATTAAACTCTGAACAATTTTCTCTAGTTAATCATAAATTTATGAGAAAAGCACTAAATGTCAATTATAAATAATTAATTACTTGCAGGTAAGTGAAGCATTATTTACAAAAGCATATGATTAAATAACCATCTGAAACAGATTAGGCAGACATCAATTACGAACGAAGAGAAAAGAGAAGTAACTATACGTTAATACAATACATCAATTGTACCCATGTAAAATTGTCAAAACCGTATATTTTAATAGGGTAGTACCTTTATACTGTGTGAATGTTTAAGGATATAATGATCCCATTCATGGAAAAAAAATTTGTTTTTTTTTGCAAAAAAAAGCAGAAGCAAGTGACAAGTTCTTTTAAGTCACAATTTATTTAGTCAAATCTTTGTTTTACCATTACATGTATATCAGACTGGAGTTCTTTTTCATCATTTTTCAATTTTTCAACTAGTTAATACAAATAGTTTAAAGATGGATTTCAAAATAGCAAATATCATCGTGAATGGTGATAATAACAATGTAATA